AAGGGGAAAGGACACACTATTCTATAAGTGGTGCTGGAAAACTGGCTAACCATATGCAGAAGAAAACTGGACCCCTAGCTTTCACCATATAAAAAAATTAACTCAACATGGATTGAAGACTTAAATATAAGACTTCAAACTATAAAATCCTAGAAGAGGCTGGGCATGGTGGCTCACGCCTGTAATCCCAACACTTTGGGAGGCCTAGGCAGGTGGATCACCTGAGGTCAGGAGTTCAAGACCAGCCTAGCTAACATGGTGAAACCCCATTTCTACTAAAAATACAAAAAAATTAGCTGGACATGGTGGCAGGCACCTGTAATCCCAGCTACTCGGGAGGCTGAGGCAGGAGAATCACTTGAATCCGGGAGGCGGAGGTTGCAGTGAGCTGAGATTGCACCATTGCACTCCAGCTTGGGCAACAAGAGTGAAACTCCATAAAAATAAATAAATGAATAAATAAATAAATAAATAAATAGGCCAGGCGCGGTGGCACACGCCTGTAATCCCAGCACTTTGTGAGGCCGAGGAGGGCAGATCACGAGGTCAGGAGATTGAGACCATCCTAGCTAACATGATGAAAACCCGTATTGGATAAAGATACTAAAAATACAAAAAATTAGCCGGGCGTGGTGGCGGGCGCCTGTAGTCCCAGCTACTTGGGAGGCTGAGGCGGGTGAATGGCGTGAACCCGGGGGGCGGAGTTTGCAGAGAGCCAAGATCGAGCCACTGCACTCCAACCTGGGCGACAGAGCTCCGTCTCAAACAACAACAACAAAAACAAATAATAATAATCCTAGAAGAAAACACCTAGGTAACACTCTTCTGGACATTGCCATAGGCAAAGAATTCATGACTAAGTCCTCAAAAGCAAACACAACAAAAACAAAAACTGACAATTGGGACCTAATTAAACCACAGAGCTTCTGCATAGCAAAAGAAACTATCAATTGAGTAAAGAGACAACCCACAGAATGAGAGAAAATATTTTTAATCTATGCATCCAACAAAGGACTACTATCCAGAATCCATAAAGAACTTAAATCAACAAGTAAAAACCAACAAACCCATCAAAAAGCACGCAAAGGGCCAGGTGGGTAGCTGACGCCTGTAATCCCAGCACTTTGAAAGTCTGAGGCAGGAAGAGGATTGCTTGTCCCAGGAATCTGAGACCAGCCTGGGAACATAGGGAGACCCTATCACCCCCCAACCCCCCCAAAAAAAAGATTTAGCCAGGTGTGGTGGCATGTGCCTATGGTCTCAGCTATTCAGGAGGCTGAGGTGGGAGTATTGGTTGAGCCTGGTAGTTCGAGGTGCAGCGAGCTATGATCATGCCGCTGCACACCAGCCTGGGTGACAGAGTGAGACCTTGTCTCAAAAAAAAATTGCGCAAAGGATATGAATAGACACTTCTCAAGAGAAGACACAACAAGTGGCCAACAAACCTGAAAAAATGCTCAGCATCACTAATCATCAGAGAAATACAAACCAAAACCACAATGAGATACCATCTCGCACCAAGCAGAATGGCTGTTAATAAAAAGTCAAAAAATAACAGATGTTGATGAGGTTGGAGAGAAAAGGGAACATTTAAACACTGTTAGTGGAAATGCAAATTAGTTCAGCTCCTGTGGAAAGTAGTTTGGAGATTTCTCAAAGAACTGAATATAGAACTACCATTGACCCAGCAATCCCATTACTGGGTATATTTCCCAAGGAAAGTAAATCATTTCAGCAAAAAGACACATGTGCTTGTATGTTCATTGCAGCACTATTCACCATAGCAATGACTTGGAATCAACTTAGGTGCTCATCCATGGTGGATTGGATAAAGAAAATGTGGTATGTATACACTATGGAATACTACACAGCCATGAAAAAGAATGAAATAATGCCCTTTGCAGCAACATGGATGCAGCTGGCAAGTGAATTAATGCAGAAACAGAAAATCAAACACAGCATGTTCTCACTTATAAGTGGGAGCTAAACAGTGGATACACATGGATATAAAAATGAAACAGTAGACACCGAGGGCAGAGAGGGAAAGGAGCAAGGGTTGAAAAACTACCTATTGGGTACTAAGTTCACTATTTGGGTGACAGGTTCAATATAAGCCTAAATTTCAGCATCACACAATATATTCATGTAACATACCTGCACATATACCCCTTGAGTCTTAAAAAAAAGCCTACTAAATGTTGATAAGGATGCCTAACAATAAGATCTCTCATATACAGCTGATGGGAATGTACGTTGATGTCGCGCTTTAGAAAAAGTTTAGTTTTACCTTCTACAGTTGATTCTACGGATATTGTAGACGTAGCAATTCTACTCCAACTGAAATGTGCTTTCACATGTACGTTGAGAGACATGTACAATAATGTTCTAGCAGTACTTTTCATAATAGCCAAAAAAACTAAAACAAGCAAAATGTAGAATAAGTACTATTCATTGACAGAAGCGTCAGCTGTGGTGTGGTCATACCATGGAATACTGTATAGTAATGAATAAGAAAAACTATGGTTCCACTCAATAATCTCACAAACATAATGTTGGGCATTTTGAACCAGGTGACATGCTGTATAATTCTGCTTATATAAAAATAAAAATAAAAATAAAAAACCCAGCCCAAACCAAACTATAGTTTTTAGCGATAAAATATATTAAGAGAAGCAATAAAGTGGTTCCTGTAGAAGTTGGGAAATTGGCCCAATGACCACCTGTATCAGACCATCTGCCCCAAATCTACTGAACAATAATTACTGGGGATTTAGCTTAAAAATCTGCACTTTTAAATTCATACCCCCAGGTGACTCAACTGCTGCTGTTGGTTAGGAGAAGAAAGATGCAGAGTAGGTGACCAACCCCTGTCTCAGGAATGATTAGGGCAGGTTTTTGTGCTGAATACATGTATAGGAATATTTTAGGCCTCGTTAGGCTGATATCAATTCCACTCTACCCCTGCGTCATGGAGTTACAGGTTCCTGAAGCATGAGGACCCTCCTCCCTCAATCAGAGACCCCAAAATAATTACTACCATGTGTTGAATTCTAGAAATTGATGACTTTGTTCATTCCATACAAAATAACCTGCGCTTCCCACCCAGTCCCTGCTTGCTTAGAGTGTCATATTTGGATTCAAGGAAACTGGGATACAGATGTGTTTCAAAGGATACACACTGCATCTGTGAGTCCCCAAGTTACTCCGCTGATATTAAGTTTTTGGTTTTTTCGGAAACCAACATAATTACTGTAATCTTTCTTATCCCATTCATAGCACTTATCTTATTTCGAAAACAGCTCCCTAGAGAAACACTCATAAATCCCTTTGAAGTAATTATGAACTTAATGTTTGAGCTTTTCATGCGCAGAAGTTGAAAATGTTACCCTTTTATGACAAATTAGAGAACAAACAAATCACTAAAGACGACAAGAAAGTCCAACTGTAGTTTATTTAATGGGATTGTGGGATTACAGTTGGGAGCATAGAAAGAGTGGAAGAGAACAAACAAATGTTTAAAAACCAAATAAAAAGATGAATGAGTTATATTCCTCTGGGTAAATACCCAGTAATGGGATCACTGGGTAGAATGGTAGTTCTGTTTTTAGCTTTTTGAGGAAATGTCATACTGTTTTCCACAATGGTTGAACTAATTTACCCTCCTACTAACAGTGTACAAGTGTTCTCTTTTCTCTGCAACCTTGCCAGCATCTGTTATTTTTAACTTTTTAGTAATAGTCATTCTGATTGGTATAAGATGGTATCTCATTGTGGTTTTTATTTGCATTTCTCTAATGATCAGTGATAATGAGTTTTTTTTCCATATGCTTTTTGGCCACATGTCTTCTTTTCAAAAGTGTCTGTTTATGTTCCTTGCCCACTTTTTAATGAGATTGTTTGTTTATTTCTTGAAAATTTGTTTAAGTCCCTTTAGATGCCGGATATTAGACCTTTGTCAGATGCATAGTCTGCAAATATTTTGTCCTCTTCTGTAGGCTGTTTACTCTGTTGATAGTTTCCTTCGCTGTGCAGAAGCTCTTAAGTTTAACCAGATCCCCTTTGTCAACTTTGGCTTTTGTTGTGATTGCTTTTGGTGTCTGCGTCATGAAATCTTTCTAGAACATAACAACACATGCATGCAAATGTTCACTGCAGCATTATTCACAATACGAAAGACATAGAATCAACCTAAATGCCCATCAATGACAGGTTGTAAAAAGAAAATGGGGTACATATACATCATGAAATACTATGCAGTCACAATCAAGAACAAGATCATGTCTTTTGCAGAAACATGGATGGAGCTGGTGGCCATTATCCTTAGCAAACTAATGCAGGAACAGAAAACTAAATATGGCATGTTCTCATTTATAAGTGAGAGCTTAATAATGAGAACACATGGACACAAAGAAGGGAACGACGTGGCCGGGCGCAGTGGCTCACACCTGTAATCCCAGCACTTTGGGAGATGGAGGTGGGCAAATCACAAGGTGAAGAGATCGGGATCATCCTGGCCAACATGGTGAAACCCTGTCTCTACTAAAAATACAAAAATTAGCTGGGCTTGGTGGTGCGCGCCTGTAGTCCTAGCTACTCAGGAGGCTGAGGCAGGAGAATCACTTGAACCTGGGAGATGGAGGTTGCAGTGAACCAATATCACACCACTGCACTCCAGCGTGGTGACAGAGTGAGACTCTGTCTCAAAAAAAGAATGAAACTACAGACACTGGGGTCTACCGGATGGTGGAGGGTGGGAGGAGGGAGAGGAGCAGAAAAAAATTGCTATGGGGTATTAGACCTAATACCTGGGTGATGAAGTAATCTGTACAACAAACCCCCATTACACGAGTTTATCTAAATAACAAACCTTCACATGTACCTCCAAACCTAAAATAAAAGTTTTAAAAAAAGATAAATGGAAATTCCTGTAAGTCCATAGGCTTCATGTGATTTATAAATCCATAAATTTGTAACTTGTTTCTTCTACTTGCTTTTCTTAGGATGTCATTGCCAAACAGTTCTGCCTGTCGTCTTCTCTGCTGGGCTGGTACCCAAGAGACTACAGATGTCAAAGGTAAGTGCAACATGAGAAGTTTCTGGGCCCAGCCCTTTTGCCAGGGTTGCTGTGTTTCTTTCAGGTTCTTTTTTTTCTCTGACTTCACTGAGATATGATTGACAAATAAATATTGTAAAGAAAATGTGGTATGTATACACCATGGAATACTACACAGCCATGAAAAAGAATGAAGCTGTGAACTGTGGCTCACACCTGTAATCCCAGTACTTTGGGAGGCCGAGGTGGGTGGATCACTTGAGGTCACGAGTTCGAGACCAGCCTGGCCAACATGGTGAAACCCGTGTCTACTAAAAACAGAAAAACAATATTAGCTGCGTGTGGTGGCGCATGCCTGTAATCCCAGCTACTCAGGAGGCTGAGGCAGGAGAATTGCTTGAACCCAGAGCTTGCAGAGCTTGCAGTTAGCCGAGATGGTGCCATTGCACTCCAGCCTGGGTGACAGAGCAAGACTATGTCTTAAAAAACAAAACAAAACCAACCGACCAACCAAACAAACAAAAACAGACCTACTCTCTTAGCAATTTTTTTTTTTTTTTTTGAAACAGGGTCTCACTCTGTTACCCAGGCTGGAGTGCAGTGGTGCGATCTCGGTTCACTGCAACCTTTGCCTCCCAGGTTCAAGTGATTCTCATGCCTCAGCCTCCGAAGTAGCTGGGATTACAGGAGCCTGCCCCTATGCCTGACTAATTTTTGTATTTTTAGTAGAGATGGGATTTCACCATGTTGGCTATGCTGGTCTCAAATTCCTGACCTCGTGATCTGCCCAACTCAGCCTCCCAGAGTGCTGGGATTACAAGCATAAACCACCATGCCCGGCTCTCTTAGGAAATTTTAAGTATACATTGTAACTAACCATAGTCACCATAGTGTACATAAGGTCTCCATAAGTATTCATCTTATAACTGAAAGTTTGCACACCTTGACCAAAAATTCCCCATTTATCTTACCTTACACCTCCTGGTAACCACTGTTCTACTATGCTTCTGTAACTTCGACTTTTTAGATTACACATATGAGTGAAATTATGCAGTTTTTGTCTTTCTGTGGCTGAGTAATTTCACTTGGCATAATGTCCTCCAGGTACATCCATGTTGTCACATAGACCGAGATGTCCTTCTCTTTAAGGCTGAATAATTTTCCATTGTATGTATATACCACATTTTCTTTATCCATTCATTATCGACAGACACATAAGTTGTTTCTAGATCTTGACTCTTGTGAATAATGCTGTAATGAACACGGGAGTGCAGATAGCTCTTCAAGGTCATGATTTTATTTCCTTTGGTTGTGTATCAGTAGGATTGTTGGATCATACAGTAATTCTATTTTTAATTTTTTTGAGAACCTCCCAATTAACATTTCCATCAACAGTGGATAAGGGTTTCCTTTTCACACATCTCTGACAACACTTATTTTTTAACTTTTTGATAATAGCCTTTCTAACACGTAGAAGTGATACCTAGCTGTGGTTTTGATTTGCATTTCCCTGAATTTAGTGAGGTTGAGAACATTGTTATATACTTTTTGGCCATTTGTATGTGCTATTTGGAAAAATGTCTCTTCAAGTCATTTTCCCATTTTTAAATCAGTTTTTTTTTCCTGCTATTTAGTTGTATGAGTTTGTATACCAAAAGTATCTGAGACAGGTCTCAATCAACTTAGAAAGTCTATTTTGCCAAAGTTAAGGATACATCTGTGAACAGCCTCTGGATGTCCTGACAACATATGCCCAAGGTTAGGGTAGAGCTTGCTTTTATACATGTTAGGGAGACACGAGACATCGGTCAATACATATAAGATGTACATTGATTCAATCCAGAAAGGCAGGACAACTCAAAGCAGGGCCTACCAGGTCAGAGGCAGATTTAAAGATTTTCTGATTAGCAATTGGTTGAAAGAGATTTTATCTAAAGACCTGGAATAGATTAGAAAGGAATGTCTGGGGTCTGGTTACAAGATGGCTGCGCCCAGTGGTGGATTCAAGCCTCGTGAACGAAGCGGTGGGGAGCAGGCACAGGACTGGGATGCTGTGCCACCCAAGCGGCCCCGACTAGGGGCAGGAAACAAGATCGGAGGCCGTAGGCTTATTGTGGTGCTGGAAGGGGCCAGTCTGGAGACAGTCAAGGTAGGGAAGACATATGAGCTACTCAACTGTGACAAGCACAAGTCTATATTGTTGAAGAATGGACGGGACCCTGGGGAAGTGCAGCCAGACATCACCCACCAGAGTTTGCTGATGCTGATGGATAGTCCCCTGAACCGAGCTGGCTTGCTACAGGTTTATATCCATACACAGAAGAATGTTCTGATTGAAGTGAATCCCCAGACCCGAATTCCCAGAACCTTTGACCGCTTTTGTGGCCTCATGGTTCAACTTTTACACAAGCTCAGTGTTTGAGCAGCTGATGGCCCCCAGAAGCTCTTGAAGGTAATTAAGAATCCAGTATCAGATCACTTTCCAGTTGGATGTATGAAAGTTGGCACTTCTTTTCCCATCCCGGTTGTCAGTGATGTGCGTGAGCTGGTGCCCAGCAGTGATCCTATTGTTTTTGTGGTAGGGGCCTTTGCCCATGGCAAGGTCAGTGTGGAGTATACAGAGAAGATGGTGTCCATCAGCAACTATCCCCTTTCTGCTGCCCTCACCTGTGCAAAACTTACCACAGCCTTTGAGGAAGTATGGGGGGTCATTTGACAGTAGTAGAACCCGTTCTGAAACCAGAAACTGTTGAGGTCACATCCTTTGACCCTGGTCTGAGCCGACTGCTGGAAGATGATCTTTCTGCACTGAGACTGTGGAGTTTGGGGAAGCCAAGGCTGTACATTTGCTATTTGTTTATCCTATGAATACTGTTCTTGCAAACCTGAAAAAAAAAAAAAAAAAAAAAAAAAAGAAAGGAATGTCTGGGTTTTGATAAAGGGATCTGGAGACCAAGGTTTTATCATGCAAATGAAGCCTACAGGTAGATTTCAGAGAGAATAGACTGTGTTTCTTATCAGATTTAAAGAGTCTGTTCTATCAGTCTTAAACTCTCTCTGTTGATGTTTGTGAGGCATGTCTGACCCCCAGTTTCCATCAGACCCTGAACTAGTTTTTCAGGATAATATGAAATGCCCTTGGCTGAGGGGAGGGTCCACCAGTCAGTTGGGGGCGCTTAGAATTTTATTTTTGGTTTACAAGTTCATTATGTACTTTGGATATTAACTCCTTATCTGAGAGATGGTTTGCAAATATTTCCCGTTATTCTGTCAGTTTTCATTTCGTTGATAGTTTCCTTCCCTGTGCAGAAAGTTTTTGTTTAATATAGTTCCATTTGTTTATTTTTGCTTTAGTAGACTTTGCTATTGATGTTATATCCAAAATTCACTACCAAGACCAATGTCAGAAAGCTTTCTCCCTGTGTTGTCTAGGAGTTTCTTGTTTTCGGGTCTTATATTTAACTCTTTAACCTATTTGAGTTGATTTTTGTGTGTAGTGTAAGATAAGAGTACAATTTCTTTCTTTTATATGTCGATATCCGGTTTTCTCAGCCCAATTATTGATGAGACTACTGTGGGAGCCATAGGCTCTTGGCTCCCTAAAGCTTTGGTAAAAATCACTGACATGAGGCAGATTGATTAATAGGAGAAAAGGCATAAACATTTATTTAACATACATCCATGGGAGCCTTCAGAATAAAAACCCAACTTCCCAATGAGTTACAGAAACGTGTATATTATCCTGAGGCCACAGTAAAGAATGCAGACTCAGAGAATGTCCAGAAACAGGTAAATCAGGCTTAATGGCAAGGCAGGTTTAGAGAGAGAGAAATGAGGAGGCTTGACTGGCAAAGGTGGCTTTTTTATGTAGATGAAGCCTTCCTCAGAGAGAATAGACGGTAAATGTTTCTTTTCAGGTTTTTAAAGGTGTCAGTTCATCTGCCAGAGTTGGAGGAAAAAGTTTTAAATAAATAAATAATAAAGGTGTCAAACTCTCAACCTCTCCTGGATCTGGGGGAAGGCATAGAAAGGGGAGGGGGCATGACTTCATTAATGGAGATTCTCTACAGATGCAAATTTCCCCCACTTAAAATAGCTTCACAAGGCCACTTCTGTCTGCTGGCCAAGCAGCAGCCATTTAAAAATATGTCAAAGAAATATATTTTTGGATAAAGTATTTTAATTTCTTTCACTATTCTTTCCCTATTGTGTATTCTTGGTGCTTTTGCTGAAGATTAGCTAACTATATGCATGGGTTTATTTCTGGGTTCTCTGTTCTTTTTCATTGGTCTATGTTTCTGTTTTTATGCCAGCGCCATGCTCTTTTGATTGCTACAGTTTTCTAATATATTTTGAAATTAGGACAAATGTTTTTTCTTGCTGCTTTCAAAATTCTCTTTGTCTTTGATTTTTGAAAGTTTTGTTACTGATGGCAAATCCATACAGGTCTGCAGCAATCTCAATTCTTGCCTCCTTAGAAGAAAGAATTTGACTGAAGGGCATAAGCAGAAGGAGAGACCAAGGCAAGTTTCAGAGCAGGAGTAAAAGTTTATTAAAAAGCTTTAGAGCAGGAACGAGAGAAGGTAAAACACACTTGGAAGAGGGTGAAGCAGGTGACTTGAGAGATCACCTTGGAAGAGGCTAAAGCGGGCAACTTGAGAGATCAAGTGTGCAGTTTGACCTTTGGCTTGGGGTTTCATATGTTAGCATGCTTCCAAGGCCTTGCATCCCTTCTCCCTTGTTTCTTCCCTTGAGATGGGCTGTCTGCACGTGCAGTGGCCTGCTAACACTTGAGAGGAGAGCATGCAGTGTGTTTACTGGAGCTGTACACATGCTCATTTGAGGCATTCTTCCCTTACCAGACAAATGTCTTTAGAAGGCCATGTACTAGTTAACTCCACAGTTTTGCCTCTTAATGTGTAAGCTGGAGCCCATTCACCAGACTCCTGAGATCTTATTGGGATGCTGCTGATCACCAGTTTCAGGAGTTTCTATTTATTGGGAGACTGCCTTTCCCTGGC